TGCAAGAACTTGTTAATGTTTTTCTTTATTTCTCTTTAGGACAGCTAGGCTGCTCTTTTGGAGTTTGTTAACATATATACTTCTTTGACATGGCTTTCTTTCATCATTACTTTATTTTTAAGAATAAAGATGTTTTATGGGTTAATTTTATAAACTCATTGCCCATTCATTTTATTTTATAAACTAAATAATTTTATCTCGTTTTTAGAAAATTCAAGATTGGATTCCTTTCTCCGAAAATCAGTTGATGGAGGCGGTAATTCCACACGAATCCGGAAAAGTAGAATCTATTTGTGTTAGGCTGCAGAAGCTCACAGTAAGTTGAAAGGCTACCTAAACCTCAGTTATTGCGCGTTACCTGTGTATGTTGGCTAAGGAAATTCTAAAATTGAGAAACACATGTTATTTTGTTTTACACCTTATCCATTCTTTCTGCCCTTCATTTCAGGTTTATCTTTAAAATATTCCACTTAATGACAATTTCGAGCTGAGTCAAAATAGCTAACTAATCGAAATGAAAACTCTTCACTTATATTACTAGAATCCTGGATAAGGCTATACGAATGACCTAGCAGTAGTTAATCATTTCTTTTTCTTTGAATATGCTAGATGTGCTAAATCACTTATGCATTAGCGTGTTCAGCAATTTTCCGCTTTTATACCCTATGCTAAGCTCATAGGTTACACATTACTTTGACAGTTTTGTGAGTTTTCTCACTATTTTTACTACTATTCTCTTGACTCCAATAACTTACATTCTTTCCTATCAAACACATTATTTGCTCCCATCAAACTATGCTATTACTTTTTCCATTCCGTTTTAAACAAAGTATACTTCGTTATTATCTATCTCCATCTGTTTACTGTACTAGCCGCATACTCTTCGAATTGAGCTCTTATTAAAATAAGCTTAGAATGTATCTTCTCCAGCGCTTAGAAGAAGTAATTTTTGATTTTTTTTAACCTTAAGATTTTTCTCACATTCTTCTTTACTCAGCCTTGTCTTATTTAATTTGTTCCGGATTATGCTATGTACTTATTTACACTTTTTCATAATGTTTGTAGGTGTTGCGTATTAGCGCTTATCCCCAGGTTGATGCCCTGGAGCGAGCCAACCATGAAGTTGGTGAACTCGTTGGCCTCCTACAAACCACCACTCGCCTTCCGCGACTGCCTTGTTTCCGGGCTACTTGGACGGAGGCCTGGTCACATGGCTTTGGTGCTGCTTCCGGGCCTTCCTGGACATCAAGTCAACCTAGTGAGATTTCCGGGGAGTATACCAACAATGGCGTTTCGCCTTGCTCCCCGACAGAAAGCGTGGCCTTGTTAGGCAGTACTGCTTCCTTAAGACAAGGAGGAAGTGTGCCCTCTTCTTGTGACACGAAGGCTTCTGATGTTCCCGCAACTCGTCGTGGGTTGCAGAGATGCTCTATTAAAGAGGCAATGACTGGAGGCGGCTGGAGAGCTGAATCTAACTCTGGATCTCCGGGACCCCCAGATCTGGTTGATTGGATGGACCACGTTGCAGCCAGATGGAGCCAGTTGATAGCTCGGTTATCAGATCACGAGGTTTGTTTGAAAGCTTGCATAAGGGATGATAGTACAATGAATAATAGGCCTATAGGTCTAGCTTATGAACTTAACAACCGGATTATCTTGTACAAATACTCTAGTCTACCTTTGGGAGGCAAAAATTAGTGAAGTGGGTTGACCTCGTTGTCGCAACTTGGTCTTGTTGTCAGGGCTACTTAGTAGAATGCAATTTGTACGAAGGCCACACGATCTTGCTCTTCATATCTTCGAAATATAAATGAAATGTATTGGCATCATTTCGGGAGGAAATCTGCATTATCAATCGCTGCTTCAACTAAAACAACCTAGTGTGTCTTTTTCAAACATTACAAAGTTTCGAAATATATTCATACTTAATGTATTATTTTTCGTATGTAAGTAGAGTTTCGAGACTACCAGTAAATCAGTAATATGAGATGTATTCACCTTATTTCGTTTAAGATGATGAAAGACTGGTCGTAGAATTTTCCCATAATGATATCAGTAGAGCTAATGTTTTCATTTAATTTCACATAGCCTTGCTTTCCTAAAAGTTGTTCTCACCCAGAGTAGACCGCAGTTTTGACTTCGCATAGGTATTATCAAGACCCCCAGCGGGAGTCGAACCGTGACAGTGCAGAATTTGAGCTTGACACGTTAACCACTCGACTACATTGCCACGAGTGCCCTTGGGTCACAGGGTAAATGTCCATTTTAAGGAAGGCCATACCTTTTGCCATATATCACATTCTTTTGGTAAGATTGTCGAGGAAGCAAACGT